CTATCTATCTGTCTGTCTGTCTGTCTGTCTGTCTGTCTGTCTGTCTGTCTGTCTGTCTGTCTGTCTGTCTGTCTGTCTGTCTGTCTATCTATCTATCTATCTATCTGTAAAATACGACATGATTGTCTGTGTGGTACATTTACTAACATAAAGGTTGACAGGTTTTACTGTAGTAAACAAGATAACGTACATCCGTGTGATCTCTGTTTCCATCTGTTGTCGAAAAATATTTGTTTAAAGATTGATTATGTTACAAATAGAACCAGATTAGGTAGTTGTCTCTTTTTTTTTAGAAATAGGATCTCGCACACATACAAATACACAATATACACATTCACACGTGCACGCGCACGCACATACACACACATACACACACACACACACGCGCGCGCGCACACAAACACACACACACGCGCGCGCACACAAACACACACACACACACACACACACACACACACACTATCATTCACGAACTCATTACTCTTATTGCACCCAAAATAGTTCCTAACTAGTGTTGAATAGCATTTGTAATTACTATTCTTTTCTAACGTAATTAATTTAACAAGATCGCTTATTTGTGTCACAAAAAAGTGGAACCAGGCGCTCGTCAACTTTTGAGCATTATGGAATTTTTTATATAGTCTTAAAGCCTGTTCATTTGTCTTGCTTATGATGAATAAAATAGCTGTCTATCTTGAATAGAAGTCGAGATATTTGAGATGGAACGAAGGTGGGGATCGCCTGGTTTCAGAGGAAAATTTACAAGAAATTGGCCGCCAAAGTTTGGTGACTTTCAAAGCTTGTGTGTTCTTGACAAGTGCAAAGTTATAATTTTTGAGTCTTTGATCAAAATACCTCAACAGAATTCAGGCCGAACTGTATTTTAGATTTTTTAAAACAAATTAAAGGTGTTAGATCAAAGAAAAAAATTCCATAAAAATGATCCAATGAACGGCTAATAAATGTCGATTTTTTTTATTTCATCATTTTGACTAGCGCCTGATTTCACCATGATGCAACACACTGATTAACTTTTCATAATGATCAATGCTAACTGGTTTGATTGTTTTCCCTTGTGCTAATGTCTAACCTGATTGTTTCCCCTTTCCTCTCATAACAGTCTGGAATTCTCTTATGAGTGTGTTTTGTTTGTTTGTGAGTTGAGTTGGATCCTGACTCGTGTGTATTCTGGTAAGTTTGCTTTTTATATGTTTGCTCTGATTAGTTTTCGGAGGTATGTTGGTGAGAATATAGAGGATGGAGAGAGGAAGAGAAATGAATTGATGTATATGTATATAGCCTATAGAATCAAATATTATGATAAGTATAATCATTATAAGAATTATAATAAGAATGTAAAATAGCTGGTATTATGTTAATGATAATGATAAAAATAGTCATTGTTACTATTTCTGCCATTATTCTTATTCGCACATGCACACATACACACACACACACATACACACACACATACACCCACACGGACACACACACACGCACACACACACACGCACACACACACATACATATTGTACTCACACACCCACTCACTTACCCCCACACTCTCCAAACAAACACAGACACACACAAACACACACACACACACACACACACACACACACACACACGTATGACAAACATTTCTACAATAATTCATCCTTGTATTTATCACCTATCTGTACGTGTATTTGTGCTCTAACACCTTGATCATAATAATTTAATATTTCAGACATTTGTAACTGTTTTCCCAATCTATCCTCAGGAAGTCTTTCCACATAACTTTCTCCCAAACCTGTAATTTTCACAGCCGTATTTTAATTACACCACAATTTCTAAATGAATGACACACACGAAAACTGCAGGGAGAGAGAAAACAGTGATAGTCAGAATATTTAAATTTCCTTCCGCCATGTCCGTTTTGACTCACTGTTTATCTTGCTCAATTTTGATGGAAAAAGCAAAAGTGTATTTATGATAAAGGGCCCTAAATTATATGTCACGCACAGGTGAAATTTAATTCATCATCTTTGGCATGTTGTTTAAATGTTCTAAGCCGAGAAAGCAAAAGTTTTTCAGGAAAGAGAGAGAGAGAGAGAGAGAGAGAGAGAGAGAGAGGGAAAAAAACTGTTTCAGGAATTAAAACTTTCTTTTTCTTTTTTTTACGTTTTGAATCCACAATGATATTTCTGAGACCACTGTACTTTTGCACCTGCAGTCAACCTGTGTGTGTGTGTGTGTGTGTGTGTGTGTGTGTGTGTGTGTGTGTGTGTGTGTGTGTGTGTGTGTGTGTGTGGGGGTTTTTTGTAAGAGATATTCACGTCAAATGATTATTAATTTATTTTTCCATTATTTAAACTCGTCTGATCCACAGTGCTCTTTACTGCTTATAAAAAGAATTAATGGTGACGACGTGGTGAAATCAAACGCTCGTCAATCTTTGGACACGGAGATGATACATGTACTGGTGCTATCCTAAAGCCTGTTCATTTGCCTTACGTTTGATGAAGATAAAAACCCTCATATTTCTTAAACTACCAGAAGTCGAGGTATGTGTGGTTAAAGGAGGTTGGAGTCGACTGGCGTCAAAGATGAAATTAGCAAGAAAATTTTAATGACTGCCAAATTTAGTCTGGTGACAATTAAAGCCATCGTGCTCCTGGAAAACTGAAAATTCACAACTTTTTCTGCCTTCTTTCAACGTTTTTCCGTAAAAATCCGTTATTTTAGATTAATTCAAAGTGTGCCCCCCCCCCCCCCCCGAAAAAGAAATCGTTAAAAACTGCTCAATGGGCGAAAAGAAAAGAGTTTTTTCGAATTTATTATTTTGGGGAGCGCCTGATTTCACCACGATACCACACAATGGATACGCGTATGATAGATCAGCATCGTGTAGACCTCGTCAGCGTGCGACAACCACCCGCTCAGCTTCTCACTTGCCTTTGCCATTTGCTTTTTTCTGCTTTCTATTGCCGATTTTTTTTTCTTTTCGATGTTTTAGTTTCTTTCTTTTAACGAGTTAAACCCTTAGAATAGCACATCATTTCTTTATTTTATGATTGGGCGACTCTTTCAACTTTGTGATGTTGTTCTTGATAGGCGGCCTCCAAGTTCAAATGGTCGCTTTTAAGCTCAAGGAGGCTGTCCCGATAAATGCTGTTTTGAGAAAATTGAAATTATACTGTTTGGATCCTTATTCCGTCTCTTTAAAAGACAAGGAGAGTTTACTCTATAACCAAACAACTATACATATCAATGAAACCAAACCTCTCCTATAGGTAGGGCAATGCCCATTTTTGGTGCAGGTCAAGATTTCTCTAACCCCCCAAAATCTGAGTTAGCCCGCTTGTCCTTAAAAGCGACCAAATGTCTGTATCCGACAGAATCGAAATTGTAGGTGAGAAGCATTTAAAAACTTCCACAAACAAACCCAGTTCAATAACACCCAAAATGAGATTTGAACCCAGGTTACCTACACCACGGTCCAGCATAATCCCCCCTCCCCCCCAAAGCATACTCTTTCACCAAAATTTTGATTATCTTTATTTAATGTTTCTAAAATTTAAATATAAAATGCAAAATACTTCTAAATACTTTTTATACCGTGAAGGAAAATCCGCCCCCCCCCCCCTTTTCTTCTTCCTTTTTGCATCTCCGTAGCCCTATGTCGCCTGAGAAAGACGTAAATTTGGAGAGCCGTCGTCCTCAAAAACATCCTGTACCAGTGTTGAAAGGGGCATCAAAGCATTACCATACTATTGTGAAAATCAATTATGTTAAAGCCTTGTGCAGATGTTAAAATGCTATGTACGAGCCTATCTTTCTGCCGTCTTAAAAACAAATGCCAAAGCTTCTATCCTTGGTGGGTTCTTTTATCATTTGCCAAATTATGTATTTATGTTTTCATTATAATACATGTTATTTCATCATCATCATCATCATCATCATCATCATCATCATCATTTAACCTGTCATTCTACAGGGCTGAATCTTTGCCATATACATAATATTACAAATTTCCATAATTGGTCTCTTTCAAGGACAAACGGGCTAACCCAGATTTCGTGGGTTTCCAGAAATCTTGACCTACACCAAAATTGGGCATTACCCTACCTTTAGGAGAAGTTTGGGTGTTTTTTTTGTGTGTATATTTGTTTGGTTATAGAGAAAACTTCTTGTCTGAACAAGAGGCAAAAACTTTACCTTCGATTTTCACCATTTCTTGGGATAGCCTCCTTGTGCTTAAGAGCGACCATATATACATAATATCGTAAATGTCCATAATTATTCTAACTACATTTGACATAATCCTGTCCACCATCTTTGTTTCAGCATTTAGACCATGACTCACTTTGACTGTCACATGACCTTGTTTCTTTTCTTCTGTTTGCTGTGCCACCCCCACTCCCAGCCCCGCCCCTACCTTCCTTCGTGAAGGTTTGAGGTTCGAATCTGTGTGGGGTTCAAATTATGATGATGTAGATTCCTGGAGAATTGATTTGCTTACCTCTAATCAGATACATTTTTTAAAATATGTACCGAATAACGCCAGTCTTTAAGATTAAGACATTTGTGTGTATTTGGACGTCGGTCCTCAATAACACCAGTAACAACACCAGTAACAACACCAGTAACAACACCAGTAACAACACCATCAGCTACACAACAACAACAACAATAAATTTCATATATCCTCCCCC